AGTCACCAATACAAGTGAGCCAACTGGTGATGCCAAGACAAGACACAGTCTGGACTGCAGTGATCACGCAGTCCAGGAGTCTGCAGTCCTGAGAGACGTGAGTCAAGTGAAGAATAATGAAAATGAATTTTAGGAAAGCAAACTGCCTACTGTTCAAGGAATTGGTTAATAGCACCCCCTGGGAAACTGCCCTCAGAGACAAAGAAGAAGATCTCTTAGGAAGTTTTCTAGAGCACAAAAGCTCTTCATCCTCAGGACTGGAAGGCAAGAGACCAGTATGGATGAGTTGCGACCAGCAGGTGAAACTAAAAGGCAAGAAGATAATGGTGAGGCAGTATTAGTATGGGCTGGTCACCTGGCAAGAGTATGGAGACATTGCCTGGTTGTCTAGGGATAGGGTCAGTAAGACCAAGGTGCAGCTGAAGTTGAACTTGGCAAAGGACACCAAGAATAACTAGAAGAGCTTCCGCAGGTATGTCAGTCAGAAAAGGAAGGTCAAAGCAAGTATACTTCTTTGATGAACAAGACTGGCAAAGTGGTAATAACAGACAAGAAGAAGGTTGATGTACTCAACAACTACTTTGCCTCAGCCTTCAATGGCAACCTCTCCAGTAGACAGACCACAAAACAGGAACTGGGAAGGCAAAATAGCTCACACTATAAGAGAAGGTTAGGTTTGTGACCACCCAAGAAACCTGAATATATTCAAGTCTGTGGGACTGGACAAGATACACCTGAGAGTCCTAAGGAACTGGTTGATGCAGCTGCCAAACCACTCTGCAAGACATTTGAAAACTCATGGCAGTCAGATGAAGGCCCAAGTAACAGAAAAAAGGGAAAAATGCACCCGTTTTTCAAAAGGGTGGAAAGGAGGACTTCAGGACTTACTGACCTGCCAGCTACACCTCTGTACCTGGGAACATCATGGAACAGATCCTCCTAGAAGCTCTGCTAAGGCACATGGAGCACAGGGAAGCGATTCAAGACATGCAGTACAGCTTCTCCACGTTCTGCTTGACCAACCTTGTGGCCTTCCCTTGTCCACGGATGGAATCACTTCATCCCAAAAGGGCTATGAATGTTGTCTGTCTGGACTTCTGCAGGGCCTTTGATAAAGTCACCCCATAACACCCTTCTCTGATAATTGAACAGGTAAAATTAGACAAAGGCATCAATGAAGAAAAGTAGAGGGCATATGCATAAACATAAAAGAATTTGAAAATTCAGAGTAAATTTCGCTTTTGTAAAGCAGAAGCAGGGGTAGGAACCCTGCAGAGAAGGGCTCTGAGAGGGCCTTACTTCACCTCTGCCCAAAGAGGCCACAGCAAATCTGGTTATCACCAAACACTTCTGAGTTCTGTAGCACTCCTGCCAGTCACAGGGGTCTTGGGAGACATCTGAGTCTGATGTAAAATACTATCCGGAGCTTATCCTTTTTCACACATCAGCAGCTCAGAAACACTCAAAATGCAACTGTATTTAAGAAATTATTAATAAATAAAATACAGAACAAGACATTGAACACTGTTATGGTATAATAGTATCTTGAATACTGGCTGAAGTTCCAATTCTGCAGCTTTCCTTCCCGAGCAGATACACTAAATCAGGAAAAATGACAGAGAGGATAAAACGTTGATTGAAAGCACAAAGCAGCTTCAGGAGTAGAAGTAACTAAGCAGTAAGATTGTTTCCACTTGAAAAAAAGAGATCATTATAGAGAAAAAATCTTAGGAGATATGAAGGAGAATACAAAAATAAAGAGATAAATGAACAAATGAAACTGGGCAGGCAGATTGAACAACATGTTTATATAATACATAGGTAAGCTCAGAACTCCCTTGCTATGTCCAAGAACTTCACAGACTCAGAACACTGGTCACATTATGAAATATAAAACCATGATGGCTATTATACAGAATCCAGTTGGACATGAGGAAGTCCCTTACCTGAAGGGAATTGCTGAAGACTGGAAGAGTATTCCAGGGAACTGCTGCTATGCATGTTACATTCTTCTCTTCTTTAGACAAATGGCTTTTAACAGACATCGATTAACAGGCTAAGTAGACCTTTGGTCCAAACCAATAAAAACTACTCTAGAAAAAGCCTTGGGATGCTTCTTGTTGACTTACTAGGCAAAATTATGTGTGATTGTCTCAAACACTAAAAATCCCCCAAAAAATGTTACAATACTGGTAACAGAGTAAGAGAAAAAAAAATCTAAACTAAACAAAATATGCGCCCCAGAATCCAAACCCTGGGAGCTGAATTTGCACTCACATGGAACCCTGAGGTAGTGTAATCTGTCGGTATCTGAACAAGATACAGAAAGACATAAGCAGAAGCGCTCTGAAGTCCATTACACTGACAGAAAACCTAGGTCTTTCCTAGACCACAGGCCCAAATCCTTGTGTCCCATCCGAGGCTCTTGCTGCAGGTTGGTCAGCTGCTTCACAAGCTGAAATTGTGCAAGTAGACATCCCCAGGAAAGAACAAAAAGCAGGGTGAGCCTCAGGCTCCTTTGGACACAAAGTAGACCTGATGTTACCACCTCCAACCATATACCCTGTGGCTTCCCTGGAGTATCTTCAGTGCCTGCAAGAGAAGGCTTCAGGGCTTTCCATGCTCACAAACCCAGGCTTTGGGAAAAAAAAAAAGAAAGGGAGAATCTGCTCTTAAAGCAGTAGGTTGACTGTGATCCTATGTCTCGAGGGAAGTCTATTATCTCCTGTCCCAGCAACCCAATCTATTTCAAGCAAACAACAGAATGGCTGTGTTTGGGATCCCTCCTGGCCAGACTGTGCTGGCATCCTTAAATCTCTCATCTGTCATGAGCCTGAAAGAGAGAGAGAGGTAATAGTAGGGAATATAAAATTATGGAATAATTTACTCTTCCACTAAACAGTTCCCAAAGCAAGTTTGGTCTGAAAGAAGCACCATCTGACTGTCAGCATAGACAGGGAAGGTTCAGTAATGAGCTAGATGTCAGTGAACACTGCAAATCAAAAAAAAAATTGGAAGTTGCACTTGCAAGAGTCTGGCTACGTCACAAGCAAAACACCCCACGAACACTCCAAGTACATTACAAGTATTTCAATGGACTGGTAGGAATTTGGTAGAAGAAACTTTGAAGCTGAAAAGAATTCGACTCTACTGCTGTGAACTGTAAATACAGAGAGAAACCCAGAAAACCAGGTGTTTTTTCCTCATCTATCACAGAAGACAAACAAAAAGCTGAAATTAGTTTGGTAGAATTGGCCATTGAAGTGACTGGTAAGGGGCAACTCAGTTGTCCACACAATGGATGAGGAAGGTGATCCAAGGGAAAACACCTTCTCCATCACTTTACATGCATAATTTTCTACAACAAGGTATTTATAATATCTCTTAGGGCTATCAAATGTCTAAAGAACAGGAATCAACTGGATTCTCATTACCTGCCAAATGAAGATACTTCTTACAAGGATACCTTAATCAAAACAGAGAACTATCATCTCGCAGAATGTGAGAGGTGAACCAAATTCCCTGTTACTACTGTTGCTGTCTTCTGGAGTTGGTTTCAAAAGCCAAGCTACCACGAGATGAGAGAGAAAACCCAAAGTCCACGTGATGCCAACTGCCACATACACTATCCAAAATAAATGCCAAAACTTCTGGCCTGAGGCTTTGAAGAGGAACAAACAGTCCCAAGAGGAACACAGTAGAGCTGGGTGGGATTCATCTCACTGCAGTTCAGGGGTTTTACGGCTGAACTAGTTACCAGAGGGATTTTCCATGGTTAACAAAAGCTGAGCTACCAAGTCCACAAATACCAGTGCACAGGTTGCCTGAGCACATGCAGGCCTATGGGATAGGCTTCAACAGACCTGACACCGACTCATTCAAATGCAGATGCTTTCACTATGACTATTTCCTATTTGGACAGTTGTTTTAGGGCAAATTCTCTAAAGCAGTGTTTCCAATGGCGGACTTTAAAAAGAGGGCCCAGCATAGAAAATGAGCATCCAGTAATACAGCAAAATTCAGTGAGAAAACATGAAATACTTTATCATAAACCAACTAGTTAGTCAGGAAAAAAAAAAAAAAAAAAAAAGACAAGGGAGGGAAACTCTTAAGTCCTTTTATAACCACTCAGTGGCAAATGAAGAGATGAGAGACTTACGGTAGGCCTCAAGTACACTGTCAGGTTAAAAGCTATTTTTATGGCCTACAACATTGATAAACAGGTGATGTACACAATGACCTGCTCAGGAAAAATCTGTAATTCCCGAATCTTATACAGTAAAATAGGTTCCAAAATTAAATTAGAAGCAAAAATTGATTTTTCCACCACATATATTAATTTTAAAATGAAGTTTCTACTGGGAAACAGTATTTGATTACAAATAATTCCCATGGGAATTGAAATAAAGGATTCTACTTGGCTCCAGGAAATAGTTTGTTATGCCAATTCTCTGTGATGCAAACTGAACAGCAGTTTTAAAAAATTTAGTCAGTACAAGGTCTTTTTCCAGCACATTTACATTGTAGCTTCATGTCTTTTCAAGGCAACACTGCTTCCATATTCCCAAACTGCTCAGGGCCAACCCCTTCCCTTTTCTTCCATCAGTCATACAGTGAACCAGACAATAAAAATCATTAATTAACCCTCCTTGGATGGATCAATTTTAATCTAGACTCTTTCTCAATCCAGTTTACCAAGCAGCTGTACACACACGTGTTCATGTGGAGGTATGACAGGATGAAGCAGTCACAGCCATTTGTTTGAGCCTGAAATCACATGACATTCATATTACATTTACAAATACACTTGTGTATATATTGCTGGAATTCTGGGCTCTGACCAGCTGTACCACCAAGCTGAAGGATTTTCCCTCTGACAAGCCTATATCCTCTCATGGATCTGCTTCCAAAAGGCATTTTAAGAAGCATCATTAGTATCCCTTCCACAGCAAATACTGCCCATTCTAATTAAAAGAAAAAGAATTGAATGATCTCCTCACCTCTTATTGAACTCCTCAAGTTCTGCTCTCAGTTTTCCTATTTCAATTTGTAATCTAGCCCTCTCTTTGGCAGTTTCATCCAGAACCCTTCGAGCATCAGCCAGTTCAGACTCATAGAGACTCTTGATTCCGCTCACCTAAGGGGAAAAAAAAAGTATTCAGGTATGAGAACATCCCAATGACTATCAAAGAACTGAAACACAGGACCAGGTTACATACAGGGTTCTTTGAAAAAGGGTATATGATATGATTTCTGCCATTTAAGAACATTCTATATTGAACATTTTCAATTAACAAGCAACTCAAAGATTTAGTTTTTATCACCATTATGACAAAACATACTATGTTTGAAACGTGCAAATATTCCCAAAAGATAAACTGAACTAGATCAGTGAACCCTACAATCTTAGCTTCAATTATTTGCTTTATTCCCAATACTGCTGCTTTGGGAGTTTTTTTTAAACATTTGAAGACATTCTGTGGAATACAAGCCCAAGGGGCCACTTTGACTCTACTGCTCTTCCACTATAAAGCATCTGAAACCAGATGAGCTGTTCAGAAATGAGCTTCTACTCTTGTTCTCTACCTCAGAGGATAAAGAACTACAGACTTCTCCCTGTCCCAAAATAATGTATCATATAATCAGTGATATAGACTGCATGAGGCACCTCGAAGTCTTCTATACCTTTATATTTTTTAGAAGGCAAGATTATTTGAAAGGTATATCAGACAGCTAAATGTACAGACCATGTAAGATTGCTGCTTTCACTTTTGGGAAAGAACACCAGAATAACTTTCATAGAATCACAGAATATGCTGAGTTAGACCTGTCAGGAGCATTGAGTCCAACTCCTGGCCCTGCACCCCAACAATCCCACACTGTGCCTGAGAGTGCTGTCCAAATGGTCCTTGAGCTCTGGCCTTGGTGTTGTGAGCACTTCCCTGGGGAGCCTGTCCAGTGCCAACTACCTCTGGGGAAAAAAACCTTCTGATATCCAAGCTAAAGCTCCCCTGACTCAGCTTTACGCTGTTCCTCAAGCTCTGTCACTGGGCACGAGAGTGTAGAGACTGGTACCTGCCCCTCACGGGAGGCTGAAGACTGCACTGAGGTCTTCCCTCAGTCTCCCCTTCTCCAAGCTGAACAAAACAAGCCCTCAGCAGCTCCTCATGCAGCTTCCCCTCTAGACCCTTCCCCATCCTTGTGGCCCTTCTTAGGACACTCTCTATTAGCTTAATGTCTTTTTTATGCTGTGGTGCCCAAAACTGTCCCCAGAACTCAAGATGAGGCTGCTGCAGTGCAGAGCAGACAGACACAATCCTCTCCCTCGCCCAGTTGGGTCTGATGCCCCCCAGGACATGGTTGGCCCTCCTGGCTCCAGGGCACTGCTAACTCGGATCCAACTTGCCATCAACCCCCAGGTCCCTTTCTCTAGCCCCTCTTCAGCTTCTCATTCTCCAGATGAGATGGTTCCACACAACCATGGTTGCCCTGTCCCAGAAGCAGTATCTGACACTTTCCCTTGTTAAACTTTACATGGTTGTTGATTTCCCATCTCTCTGATTTGTCAGTATTTCTCTGCCAGGCATCTCTGCCCTTGCAGGTGTTGATAGCTCCTCCCAACTTAGTGTCATTGGCAAACATTTTAGTATTCATCCTTTGAGTCCTGTATTCAAGGGTCATTGATGAAGATGTTGATGGGTTGAGGTTGGAGACCCACAGAACTCCACTTGTGACCAATGTCAGCCTGATGTCACCCCCATCACTATAACCCATTGTGCCCAACTCGTGAGCCAGTTGCTCACCCATTACGTGACAGGGTTATCCAGCTGTAAGCTGGACATTTAGTCAGGTGGATCCCATCTCTCTGAAGCAGTTGTGAATCCTGAAAGACAGTTCCATGGTCACAGAATCACAGAAAGGGCTGGCCGGGCAAAGACCTTAAAACCCATCTCATTCCACCCCCTGCCATGTGCAGGATCACCTTCCACTATCCCAGGTTGTTCCAAGCCCCAATCTGGCCTGAACACTTCCAGGGATGGGGCAGCCACAGCTTCTCTGAACAGAGCAGAGGGGCAGAATCCCCCCCTCCCCTGCTGTCCACAATGGGGGCTCAGCCCAGCACAGAGGGGGTTTCTGGGGGCCCATGGCCAGTACAGGTAGAGCCTCTCACCCACTAACCCCTCTCAACTCCTTCTCCCCAGAGCTACTCTCAATCCATTCTCCACCCAGCCTAAATCTGTGCTTGGGGTTTGCTGTAGAATCCAAAACCCTGTTGCTAACAGCAGTTGTGCAATCCAGAGTTGTTCTGCAGGATCTGCTCGGCTACCCTCAAGCTCTTCACTCTCCCGTAACACCCGGGCTCTGATGCCACTGACAATCATTGACTTCGTTTGAAAGACAGGTGTCTGCCAAGGAAGGCAGGAACCTCCCTTGGAATGGAAAATGTGACCCCCTTCCCTTCAAATTATTATACCTTTGAAATTATAGGACTTCAGGCAAAGATATGAGAAAAAGAATATAATTTTTTTACTAGTATATATATGTGTAT